CCCCAAAACCCCAAAACCCCAAGGATATCAAATTAAAAAGGATTTATGAGATACTAAATAATATTAGTTAAATAATTATAATAATGAAAAGGATATCTTAAATTTTAGGTCTCTCATTGCTTTATGGATCAATCACAGTTGTAAATTTATTTCAAAGTCATAAAATTAGTCTGGTTCATAAGAAAATTCAAGCAATATAAAGCAGAATTTGAAAGGGTAGGCTTGCACAGTAAATAATCATTAGATTCTGAAGGAAAACTTCCCTTACTTTGATCCTAATGAAGTGAACTTCCCTTGCATGTATGCTGGTACATTCAATGTGTCTCTTTCAGATGCATTCGATCATAATCTATTTTATTGGTTCTTCAAGAATACTAATCTTGATACTGCTCCACTAGTTGTTTGGATGAATGGCGGTCCTGGATCCTCCGGATTATTCGGGCTCTTCATCGAGAACGGTCCAATCAAGGTAAAAAGAACTGGCACTACTGATGATGATTTCTTAGTTTATCTGAGTCCTTAAGGTTCATGGAATGATATTGCCGATGTAGTATATCTAGATCAGCCAGTTGGAACAGGCTTCTCATACGGCAGGACTTACATTGATAGAATGGAGACAGGTGCTGACCATTTCGTTTCATTCCTGACACAATTTCTCCAAATGTATCCTGAATATCAAACCAGAGAAGTTTATATTGCTGGGGAATCATATGGAGGGAAATACTTACCTCACTTTACCTATAAAGTAGAAAGATTCAATGATTAAAATTCTTAATTGCCAAAAGATAAATAAAAACCTAAAATCAATTTGCAAGGAACATTCATTGGAGATCCTTTCGTTTCACCAATCAGACAAAGATTAAGCACTTACCTTGTGGCCAGAGGATTAAATATTGTTGACAATTCAAACATGGCTCAAATTGCTGCCCTTAGAAAATAATGCGAAGAGACTTCCTCAAATGATTGGGATAAGAGCTCCGATGTTTGTGAACTAGCAATGGACTATATTGATAGTTTAGCTGGTGGTGTATCAACCTATGATGCCTCTCAGTTTGATTATGACTGGTCAATCCTTGAACAGCCTGTATTTGACTTCTTAGGTAACTCAAAGCAAAAGGGTAAACTCTACACAGCACTTCATATTGATAAGAGTTATAAGTCTCCAATTTATGAGTCATCTTCTTAAAACGTTTATGAAGCCTATGCTTATGAGGAGATGATTGACTGGACAAGCTTTTACGATAGAGCCTTATAACGAAAAATGAGACTCATTATTTATGCTGGTGAATATGACTAGAGAGATGGACCATTAACTCAAATGTAATGGATGAAAGATCTTAGTAGATTAGATTTAACTGGAGGAGTATTTTTTAATTAAGCAAGAAAAATCTACTACATAAAAGATAAAAATAATGATTTCTAAGTAGGAGGTTATTATAGAAGTGATCCAGTTGTAGGGTTTACATTCTTAACAATCCCAAAAGCTGGCCACTTTGTACCTGCTACCTAACTAGATGTAACAAAGCAAATGCTTCAAGATTTCTTCTAAAACAAAGCACTTGTTTGTCACAAAGATAAACCAACTGATTGTGACACAGCACCGATAATGTGCGAAGCCATGAATTAATGTAATGGAAATGGCCAATGTTCAGCTATTGACGGTAAATGTCAATGCAACTAAGGATTCAAGGGTGCTGATTGCTAAGTTTAGGCTGAAATGATGAAAGATGGGTACCAAAAAAGGTTTTAATTCAACGGTACTTAATGGGCCTACTTTGTATTCGACTCTAACCTCTAAGAAAATTAACACTATGAACTCAATTTCATTGCCTAAAACATGATGGATATCTATGTATCAGCTGGAGCTAACTCTGAACCCACTTAATTCAAGAATGATATGCAGTTCAATAAGCTAAGTTAGTTTGCTCTTGATTCAATGAGCTTCCCATAAATTTAAAAATTTACAGTTGCAGTAAGAGTGAACGGAATCGACTTTGCGACAAATACATATCAACAACATTCAATGTGGGTCAGTTTCAATGTCAAGACAATGGCTACTTATATTTATAGCGAAAAGATGGCACTTACTGAATCTAATTCAGATGTTCAGATAGAAGATGAGCTAGTTTTTGATTAAAATCCTCAATTTGAAAATCACTAAGAAATGAATTCTGAGTAAAATTCAACTACTTCTCATTAAACAACTTATTTCGGTATTGAACTTCCAAAGATTGATATGAAATATATCTTGGCATTGATTGTAGTGGTTGCTGTTGTTTATTTCAAGAGACAGTTAAAAACTCAATCTCCTAACTCAGGTATTGCTAGTGTTGTTTCCAACTCTAAACAAATGAACAGTGGAATCTCTAATGATTCGCTTTTGCCAATATCAGTAGATCTCAAATAATCTACACCTCTTTAATGAGTTGATTTGAACTTACTTGGGAATAATTACCAATATTATTCAAGAAATTATTGAATATCTCAATCAAAAACATATTAATTATTTCTAATTCAAATTTCTTAGGCAATATGAAAACCATGGGGTTTTGGGGTTTTGGGGTTTTGGGG